AAACGTGATACCTCAAAATAACCTCCAACTAAAAACTCTGGTTAATGAAGAGTTGAAGAGTTTACTTGTATTCCAGTATGCAGATTAGGTTCTCCTCAGCTTTTAGCTGAATGAAGTCCAGTCTTGCTTGAAGATGAACCCACCACATGATTAAATTGAACAGTATCACATAATATGTAGAAAGTATGGTCGTTCGCTTAATGAAACAATATTTATAACGACAGAAGACAAGGGGCAGGCAATAGATCGCTTATTAGGTCCAGATTATGTACCTAGTATTATTTTTTTTAATTTTCTGATATTCTGTGTCACCCTCTCACTGATCTATTTAACAAATCTTTTTCCGATAATATTGTGCCTGCCGTTTGGAAAGACATTAAAGTTGTACCCGTATCTAAATCTTCTACTGGAGCATGTGTCAAATTTAGACCCATTGCTTTTACCTATCCTTTTTTGAAAACTATGGATAAATTACTTTTACTTAGTCTTGTACCTTCGCTTAAATCCTTTAATGACCCTAAACAATTTGTCTATAAGCACAGTAGAAACACTTTACATGCAGCTGCCGTCTTATATCATAACATTGCTTCTAGTCTAGACAAGGGGGCTAAATTTGTTCGTTGTGCCTTCCTAGACTATACATCTGCTTTTGACTCGGTCCCTACGGACATCTTATTAAATAAACTTGCTGCTAGTCAAACAGAATGTTGGGCTGTTAACTGGTTACATTCCTATTTCTCAGATAGAAAACCGTGCACCGTATATAAAGGGAAGTCTTCCACTTCATTGCCTACTGAAACTGGTGTCCCTCAAGGCGCTGTCCTTTCTCCTTTTCTTTTTTCTTTCTTCTTGCACGACTTGCCTCACTCTGATGAAATAAACTTTGTGAAGTACGCTGATGATTTAACAGTTTCAATGGCTGTTAACTCCGAGGTAGATTGTACCAAAATAAATAGCTTTCTATCGGGAGTCAGCAAATGGTCTGAGTCTAACGGTCTTAAACTGAATCCTTCTAAGTGTCAAACTGTTGATTTCAGCTTAAGATGTAAACGACAGTTAAAAGAAGTCATCGGTTCGCATGACAGTTGTAAAATTGACGACAATGATATAGGAATCAAATCAGAAATTAAGCATCTTGGACATATTCTCTCTTCTGATCTCTCCTGGTCTTCCCATGTCTTAGCGATCTCCAGTAAAATATTCCGCCTAGCATTTTACATTAAGAAGTTAAGACACTCGGGTATAACTCAACCCCCCTCCTCTTACAGTTCATAAACTCTTGCATCCTACCTATTCTTCTTCCCATTGTTCACTCCTGCTTATTCTTTCCTGGTTTGCTTAAGAAGGACTATGTCACAATTTGTAGAATGCTGAAGGCTGTCAGTAGGGTGAATGGTGGACCACATAGTTAACGTCGTTGTCGATAGGCACTTGACTTCGTGCAATAAATTTGCTAGAGGGATTTCGTCTGACTTGGAGCATCCACTTTACCCTCAGCTTTCACCTTGCATCTCCTCAGGTTGAACAAGAAGTAACTTCAGAAAACTGTATGCTTGCACGTCTAAGTATAAAAATTCTATGATACCATACTTGGAACGTATTTTATGCGGTGAAAATAGTGTCAGGCAAGAATTAACTAACCTTCTGTCATCTAGTAAATAAACAATTTCCTCCATCCATCCATCCTTGTATACCTTCAAGTTTTACTTTTATCACTTCTATCATATTTATGGTCCTGTTGCTTCTTCGCTTGTTTTACTCTCATAATTGCAAACACCAACTTATCTCCATGACTGCTGTAATCTTTGTTTTTCCCCGCACCATCACCGTCATGTAAAGAGAACATTATATTCAATATTTTTAAACATGTGAGGATTTCTATACCGCATTGCCAATACTGTGTGACACAAGCCAACGGCAATTTTCACTTGTATTCTTATTATTATTACCCTAGCTGTTATCATTATTATTGCTATTTCCATTTTATATGCTGCATGTTTTTGACACTACCTCTATTGTAAATGTGGAAAATTTTCTGCGTGATTAATTTTTATTTATAATTTGAGGAAATTAGATGCAATATTGTGATTAATGCTGAAAATTCCATTCTGTATCACAAGTACTGTTTTGGAATAAAGTAAATTATTATTATTATTAAGGGAATCAACAGGTATTTATAGATTTTCATGTACATTATTATAGATTATTGTTAGCAGACAACAGCAACAACAACAACAACAACAGACAACAATCAGCCAGCATAAATGGGAGGAACCTGAAAGGAACAACCTCCTTCACCTACCTGGGAAGTATCGTTTCAACTACAGGCGGAACTGACGAGGATATCAAAGCAAGAATCGGAAAAGCAAGGCAGGCTTTCATTACTCTTAAGTCTGTGTGGAAGTCAACAGCACTCAGCATGAAAATACAAATCAGATCCGGATTTTCAACTCCAATGTAAAGTCATTTCTTCTACACGGATCAGAGACTTGGCCAGCGCGTCATAAAGAGCACTTCAAACAAACTTCAAGCCTTCATCAACAGTTGTCTTCGCTCAATACTCAAGATCAGATGGCCAGAAAACATCAGCAATAGGGAACAGCAAATAGGGAACCAACCAGGAACTAACTGTGAAACAAATAGGCAGGAAGAAATGGAGATGGATTGGCCATACTTTGAGGAAACCATCAAGTGAGTGACATCACTAGACAAGTCCTAGAGTGGAACCCGAAAGGGAAGCGACGAGTTGGTCATCAGTGCAAGGGTGACTTGGAGGAGATCATGCGAGGAGGAGATGAAAGCATGTGGGCAGACTTGGAGAGGGGTGAAAAAGTTGGCAGAAAACAGAAGGCAATGGATATGCGCAGCTGAATCCCTATGTTCCTCTAGGAACTAAAGGATGAAATAATAATAATGATAACTGTTAGCAGACAAACACAGTCTTCTGATTAGTGGCTGTTTCTCTTTGTGGCTGTTTCTTGAAGGTCAGATCATCTATCTGCTATCTGCTAATTGTGTCCGCCTACGCGGAGAAAGTGTTCTGGGATTGGTTGTAGAGTCAGTCAGTCAGTCAGTCAGTCAGTCAGTCAGTCAGTCAGTCAGTCAGTCAGTCAGTCAGTCAGTCAGTCAGTCAGTCAGTCAGTCAGTCAGTCAGTCAGTCAGTCAGTCAGTCAGTCAGTCAGTCAGTCAGTCAGTCAGTCAGTCAGTCAGTCAGTCAGTCAGTCAGCAGTCAGTCAGTCAGTCAGTCAGTCTTTGTTCTTGTTCTTCTTTTCCATGACCAATATATTGGACATAAACAATGACGTAAATTACTGTCTGCCAATTTATTTAGCTAGCAGGCACCTCTCAGCACATATTCATTCGCATTATATTAAAACCCAGTAACAGAATGCTTACCAATTAATCTCATGGTCCAGGTTCGATTCCCAACCAACGCTTAGCCAGTGGTAGCCCCCATATAGACGATCGGTTAGGGAACCATTGAGTAAACCGACTGGGAGTACTGGACAGCTGTTTTGCAACCCATGCTTCGGGACACTTCATCATTTCGAGAATAAAAAGTTCAGTAAAGACATCTTTTCAATGATTTCATTCTCACTGACTATACAGTCGCATTTCATACACATAAGTTAGCATAGTTAATTATTATTTAATAATTTAATAATTCCCGTTGTTGTAGCATTAAGAACATAATATATTCACCGAAAAGACTCTTTTCAACAACGAACTTATTATCAAGCTGTACAAACGTAAATATATATGGTTTTCAAAGAAATTATAACCGGTGAGGGAGGGAATTAAGTCAAAGGTGTGAATACATGAAATAATAATAATACTACTAGTAGTAGTATGAAATGCAACTAAAATATTTGTGATTATAATCATAGTTCAATATCAAGTGGCAAAACAATTAATGTCATATATAGAGTAATTCATAAGATGTATAGGTAGGCGAATATAAAATGTTACATAACACGGTGTGAAACTTGATAAGGTAGAATTCAATATTGTAGAAATGAAAAATATAAAAATTAATCATTTCGGGTTTAGAATGACAAGTGGGTCAAGTGGAAACAATTCAGAGTGAGAAAAATAATAATAGTAATACTCGTAGTAATAAGGGAAAGGTACATAGAATAACTAAGTAAACAGAATAAATAAATAAATGTCTATCCCTCTACGGTCAAGGCAGAAGTAGGGATTGTACATACTTCTTTAGTACAAAAAAGTCTGACTGGCTTAAACTCATGAATTGCCAAGGCCTCAGCTGTCTTTAAAAGTCTATAACGAAGAAAACGCGGCCAGCTAGTTAGCATGGATTCTGTATATGATCGTAAAATCATGATCAGGGTTGGTGTGGAGTGACAGAAGTCGATCAGGTGTTCCAGAATGGAGCACTTTGCACACACACGCACACACACACTTCCTTTCCCCCTTGTAAAGCCATGCTGTAGGAATGTAGTCTCGTATACGTGCGGTGGAAAGCGGTGTCCTCTGACTACTATGGCCAATTTATCTTGCTCCCCAAGAGGATCAGCTGAACTCATAGATGTACATGGAGGCAGCCAGACAGGGAAGCTCATCTTTCTTTTACACAGTGGTAGAGAACGACTTACGGCTAGTGAACGTCATATCTAATTTTGCTGCGAAGAACGTCTTACTGACTGACTGATTTAGAGAGACACGGTTTTTGAGCACTCATTTTGTGAAACAACTAACTATTTAATGGTTTCTGCTAGCAAGCAACTTAATTTCTTTTTGACCTTAGGATAGATTTACAGGTCAAAAAAGTAGTCAATTTCTGCTGCACAATGAGATGAATAATTTTTGTTAGTTAGAGAAATTTTTTCAGTTCAATATTGGTGATAAAGTGAGATTTAAAAGTGATAATTATTTATAAGGTTAATTTCACCTCTGAGTGAAAATGAGACATTTATTCAATGTTTGTACTATTTACCTCTCTCTCTTGTGTATTCTTTACTTTGCTGTATAAAACAAAGGAGCAGTTAAAATCCTTCGAAATCAAGCCAATGTTGACTTCAATCTTTTAATGGCTGGTAAACTGACCTTGGAAGAAACGCATAAAGTTCGTCGATGTGCAATCATGTCTGCAGTTCGTCTACCGTTATTTATGCAAGACAAAGAAAAGTATCTCACTGGTTTACGTACAATAGCTCGGTTGAATGGTATTAAAATTTTAGAACAAACTGTGGCAAAACCAAGTTCTCTGGCTTCACGTTCATCAGCTCCTGTAAAACTCTCACCGCTATCTTCAACAAGTTCAGTAAGAACTACGATTTAAAAAAAAATAATTATTATTATATTATTATTTCCACTGATTGACTTTACATTGGAGTTGAAAATCCGGATCTGATTTGTATTTTCATGCTGAGAAGTGCTGTTGACCTCCACGCAGACTTGAGGGTAATGGAGGCTTGTCTTGCCTTCCTGATGATCCCCGCTTCTTTGATATCCTCATCAGTTCCATCCACCTGTAGTTGAAACGATGCTTCCCAGTTAGGTGGCTAGGTTGGTAGGTGAAGGAGGTTGTTTCTTTCAGGTTCCTCCCATTTATGCTGGCTGATTGTTGTCTGTTGTTGTTGTAGCTGTTGGTGTTGGCCAGGAATACTCATCACCTCTATTTTCTCTATGTTCACCTGAAGGAAGTCCTATCTTGTCTGGATGCTTCCCGTATCGCCAACTTGTTGCTTTTAACTTGCATATCTTGCAACTTGTGAGAAATCAGACATATATCATCGGCGAAGTCCAGATCCTCCAAGTATTTTGTGAGGCTCCATTTTATGCCTTTTTCCTCACTGCCCGCCCCTGTCTGTCACATTATCCAATCTATTGCAACCAGGAAAATCATTGGAGATAGTAGGCAACCAGGCAGCTTGTCTTACTCTCGTCTTCACTTCTTCGATGGATTCCACAAGTTTCCCGTTGTGGATTACTTGGAATGTAGCATTGACGTATAACTGTTGGATGAGATATTTAATTTTCGGTGGCACCCCATAGTAGCTAAGCAGTTTCCAAATCACCTGTCGATCGACGCTGTGCTGTCGAAGGCCTTTTCAAAGTCGATGAAGTTGAGTGAGATAGAGAGGTGACTGCCATTCCAAGCTTTGTTCAATAATGATCCGTAGTGTGGCGATTTGATCAATACATGACTTGTTTCTCCTAAATCCAGCCTGTTCCAGCCGAAGTTTTTCATCCAGGGCGGCGTGTTTGATTCACACCAGGATGATGCTGCTTAGTATTTTGCTTGGGATAGATAGGAGCATAATTCCGCACCAGCTCTTTCAGTGCATAATAAATTCGTAAATGTTTGTTTTAAAGGGTTTCAATCATGCAACAATTTCACATTATCCTTCTTTATTTACGGTGAAGTTCAACAATAGGTTCCCCCCCCCGCGAGGAGTTCGAATTCCCTCTCCAATGACCTTGAACGCATGCTAGTCATTGGCTTACGGTATCTGTCATTATTATAGCTGAAATATCAACGCTAATCGCCAATCCAGCAGCAAATTTCAATCAGATTACGTTCGGGTTAGGATTAGAGTTAAGGTAAGTATTGGGGTTAGGGTTAGAACAACCACCACCACCCACGCCACCAACGACAATGGTTGGGGTTGTGTTACATCACGAACTGGAAGAAGTTAGAATCCATCAGTCATTGAATCGGGAGGGGCCTTGGTGGCTGAATGGTATAGGAGCTTGCCTTGTAACCAGAAGGTCCTGGGTTCGAATCCCAGTGGGTGCGTACTTTCGATGATTCTCAAACTAGACTGATGAAACAGCTGGCTGTCCAGTACTCCCTGTGGCTGGTTTCCAATGGTTCTCTAACTGATATCAATCTGTGCGTGATCAACCTGTAAATAATAAATTCGTAAATTAAAAGTCAATCTGAACGAGGAATATTCTTTTCAATAATTTCTCCTATTCAGGTTCTTACAGTTTTAAAATATAATATTTGTTGTCGTTGCAATAAAGGCCATTTTTGTGGCAGATATATTTTTAGATAAAGCAATAAGAAGATGTAATTTGTCTGAATCGTGTAATGTATTTGCGCAACACATTTCGAACAATCTGATTCATCACACACACACGGACTGTCATAGGAATATATATGAAATTAGTAAAGAGTTAAGAGGTGGGTGAGAAGATAGACTACTTAGGTCAAGTTAAAAGGAGGACATATTGAAGGTCAAAATAACAATGAAAATCAATCACTAAACCAAATAACAGAGGTAACATAGTACGTCTACCCTGAGTGGTGGCTATCAAAACAAAATTTACCAAGAAAGGTTTAATGTGATGATGAATTTTTGCTTTGAACGCATGAAAGTGGCTTAAACTTTCTAATTGCTACGGCTTCCACAAACTTTAGGATACGCCCTCCCCGAAACACGTTTTATAGATAGGTTTAAAAGATCTGTTAACGTCAATTTTATGTCCTGTCTCAATAATATATTTCTCAATAGAAGAGCTAGATTTCCTGTTCTCACCGTTAATAGGTCCTGAAGAATCCATTTGTTTCTGGAGCCATTTGGGAATATGCTCTGAAACCAGTCAGCCCTTACTTGCAGAGATCAATGAATTCTCTCTATGTATGTGTGTCCACATGTACATTCAAATTGGTAAATACAGTGGGATGTGACATCAATTTTTCATGTCCGAAGGGCTTAGATTGATATATATATATATATATATATATATATATATATATATATATATATATATATATATATATATATATATATATAACGTAGAATAACAGGTTAGCAGTTATAGGGTGTCAAAATAAATACTCGTATTTGAGTGTGACAAACGTACTCTGGGCTAAAATCGATTACAAAATATTTCGGTGAAATTTTTTTAAATTTAATTTTTTAATTTTTTTTAATTTTTTGATTACAGCTTAATTCTATACTGTATTTTTGGTACAAGTATAGAATTTTCAGCATGGATATCAGTAGCCCAAATTTCGCAGGCCGACCATAGATATCAGGGGTGCGTCGGCAGGGGTTCGAACCTCGCACCATGTGTATGGTCGGCGAGAGTCCTAACCACTGTGCCACCGACGCACAGTGGTGGTGATTAGTCGTCATTATATATTTGTAGAGTGTGGGGTAGGAAAATTGACAAGTCAGCTCAGTGTTATAAAAGGTGTCAGGTGATCGAGTGACAGGCTAGTACAAAGTGGTCTGTATTAAACAAGAGATAGTAAGACTACAATGAGAGGTGGTTCATAATGAAATAACGAATGTGTGAAATGAAACAGTTGGAGAAATGAATACTCTTAGTTCAGATTGACTTTAATATGGGAGGAATATTTCACTTCATTAAATTCGTAAATGTTTGTTTTAAAGGGTTTGTGGTGGACCTTTTCACTCTGTTAGCTTAGTTACCCAAATTCAAGTAGAAAATAAAATACCAAATGAGTTTAGTTACGGGAAGAATGTATTAAAGTTTGATTACTTGAGTTTACAAAGGTCCACAGTCCACAATAAACGTAATAGACTCCAGGTGCTGCGGAAAGACTGCTCCAGTAGTAATTCTCCAATGTTAACGTTGCCGGAGGTCGACCAAAGTACGTAGGAAGAAACTACGGTGCTCCTGCAAAAATCAGAGATAGAAAGCAGGTGATTAGGATTGATCGACGGCAGTTGAGATGGTGGAGAAGACGGAGAGTCGAAGGCACAACTATATATTTATTCAAAACCCGAGGTAAAGTCAAAGTACAGAGTTTCTGGTTAAAACAAAGTGGTGTACAATATGTTCATTATTTACATAGTAGTAAAATTTGGATAAGTTGATTTTTGAGGACTCCACAGGGCTCCCCCTCTTAGAGGTCCGGAGGACCATCAGTACTGCCCTCGTGGACGATTACATGAATATAAGCAACATAAATAAGGGATAATGTCAACAATATGGATAACAAAAAATAACAACAATAAGGATACAAAGTTAGATCAGGATGTATGGAATGCATCCGTGTCGTATAAAGTTTAGCACATACAAGCACATACAGGAATTTAAAAAAAATCAAAACTTGTTATAATTTTAAATAAAAATTTATGTACATAATAAACCATGACATGTTTGTTAACATTTGTGAAATTCATATATAAATAGATATATACATATACTTGGTGAATGCGTGTGCTTGCAGTACAGTTAACGAACAGCAAACAATAATACTAATAAATATTTATGGTTATAATGAAATGAATGTCGACAACAATAGTAATGAGAAGAATGTCTAAATGAGGTTAACGTTTATGTCAGTCAATGAAATGAACATAGCGGGCAGGTTTACAGATCTGCCGCCCACTGCGTGTCTGTACAGGGGGAAGAGTGAAGAGCGGGAGAGTTGGAGTTGCATTGACTTGCTGATTGTTTATTGGTGTCGGCGTTGCTAGTGTTTCATGTTCGCTGTCGGTGTACGCTGGTTTAAGACGGTCGATAGAAACAGTCTCCGGTTTACCATGTTTGTTCAGCGTGAAGTATTTTTCGGTGCGTTTAAGTACTAGAAAAGGACCTTCATATGGATGTTGTAAACCTTTTCTAATGGCATCGACGCGAACAAATACAAATTTGCTAGTGAGTAGGTTCTTATTTACTTGAGCTTTCTGAAGTGATTGGCGAGGGGCTACTGGTCTAAGCTGAAGCATATGCTGGGTAAGGCGGTTGGTGAAGTCGGAGATATTTACTTCAGTTGAATCATTAGACGGAACTAACTGACCAGGCAATGTGAGGGTAGTACCATACACAAGTTGAGCTGGTGTACATCCCAAATCTTCTTTTACAGTTGATCGGATACTGAGAAGAACTAATGGTAGGTGTTCACTCCACTTAGATGAGTCAGCTTGTGCCATAAGCGAGCTTTTCAGTTGTCGATGGAAACGTTCCACCAGACCATTCGCTGCAGGATGATAAGCTGTAGTGGAGATATGGTTCACTCCAAGGAGTCTCGTAAACTCTCGAAACAGAGTTGATTGAAATTGAGCTCCTCGGTCTGTTGTAATAGTTGTGGGTACTCCATAGTTTGACACCCAGCGATCTAAGAAAACCAAAGCGATATTTTCTGCAGATATATCGTTGAGTGGACAAGCAATAGCCCATCGGGTAAATCGATCAATCGCAGTAAGTATATGAGTAAATCCTCTGGATGGCGGTAATGGTCCAACAACATCTATATGAACGTGTTGAAATCGTTTATCGGGTAAATTGAACTGTTTTGGAGGTGTGACGGTGTGATGATGTACCTTGGATCTTTGA